CTGTTGAATTTAGGAGGAGGCAGATAACTGTGAGCAAAATCACAATTTTCGAAAGCAAATTAAAAATGCTAAATTACATTGTTGGTGTTTTCCCAATATTTGCTCAATCTCATTTTCGTCCTCCACTTTTTATTGCGTTATTATAGTAATTAAAGCTCTTGTTTTATTTTGGAAGAATATACTTTGACCCCCCTTAACTATGAACTCGATTTCACTTGACCCCTTGAATTATTTGATTTTTCACATTTCTCTCTCCACTACTTAAGTTATTTTAAATTGTCCCAAACTCAAACGTCCGCTTTCTTTTTGCACAAAAACTAGCCACATATCGAGGTAAAATGAAAAAAAAAGACACATACTTCAGGAGAAAAGTAAAATAACTTTTCATTAAATTCATAATAAACGTTAATAATTGATCCTTCGTAAATTGTAAAACGAGAATATTGTTCATTGAAGTATAAAAACAGGCATACATAATTAATTATTCACCATTGACAAGAAATCAAGGTATTGTTTGTTATTAATCAAGTCGCATACAAGGCATAATGCAATTGAACAAATGAAACATAAACCATGAAGGAAATGGCCAAATAGGGCCACACAAACGAGGAGACAAATGAATTGCTGCCACTGCCACCATCAGGTCCATCACCCCCCATCGTCACTGCCACCTCGACCTCCGCCTCCACCTCTGGTAATACCTTGGCTACCGCTACTGCCTAGACCACCACGAACACCACTTCCTCCCACACCACCTCCGGTGCCACCACCACCACCATCACCCCCATCTTCAGTAGTTCAATCAAAGACTAGAACATTCAAGACTCCAAGTGGATATTGTTTTAATATCAAAGGATTAGGCCAAGAAAAAAACAGCTCATCAAGGCTTTTCTTATAATTTGTTTCTTCCTAAATCTTTTTCTATAATTTGTTTCTTCCCTAGTCTTTTTTATTTATTAGTAAATAGACGAACAAAGGATAATATCAAAGGATTAGGCCCAGAAAAGAACAGCTCATTAAGGCTATTCTTATAATTTGTTTCTTCCCAAGTTTTTTTTTTTTTTTTTTGTTGATAAACAGACAAACTTAATAAGAATTTTTTATGCCTTACATATGCAAATAAATTCTTTATCCATTATATTATTTTTTGGTGACCTAATTCATAATTATTGTTGTCTTGAATCATTGAATCTCCTGAAATGAATTGCATATTTTATTCCATTACCCTAAGCCACCTACCATATATTCTATTTTTTTTTTTTATCAAAAACTATTATGGAGAGAAGGTGACAAAGTTTGAATCCACGACATTAAAGTTCCGTTTGGTACGATGAAAAAATGGAAGGATAGAAAGTTAGAAGGATGAAAAGTTAGAGAGATAAATAAAATATCATGTTTGGTAAGGAAGAAAAATAAGAAAGATGAAAAAGTGGATGAATTAACATTCCTTCTAACTCGGTAAAATCAATTCCTCTAAAATTGGAAGGAAAGTGGATGAAAAATTAATTATTTGTATTGAGATGTATCTTATTTGTCTATGTCTTTTGATATATACATATATTATGTATACATTAATTTCATATAAAAAAAATAAAAAAATATGTATATATATATTTTAAAAAATTTTAAAAATAAAAATAAAATTTAAATTTTAAAATTAACAAAAATATTTTTTCCATCTTAACTAGAGGTAAAAATTTTTGACTCAACAAGATGACACGACTCAAACTTGACACGAATTTTATAACACGAACTTAATTATAACTTGACATAACTTAAAAATGACCTGACATGCAAACAAGAAATATAAAAGACTCATATTCAATTCAACCCGTCAAACTCAAAATTGACACCATCATCCCGTTTATTTAAAAATAAATATTTTCTTTATTTTCTCGTTTGTATGGTACCACAAAACTAACATGTTTAATTAGTATTATATACATAAAATATTAATTATTTGTAACTATTTATTAAGCACTGACATAATTATTATATAAAAAAAATATTTTTACTTATTATTATTATTATATTTATTTAAGTTAATTTTTAGTTTGTAGAAAAAATATGAACATGAATTCAATTAAGTAAAAATAGAATATTAACGTTAAATTTTTTATTCAAAGTTTATGTGGGTCAACACGAATACGACACGAAAATAAACAGGTCAACTCGACATGACACAATTAATTAAATAAGTTGAGTTATGTTTGACTTATGTTCGACACAAATCCGTAATGACTTAATATAAATCTGACACGATATGACTCGATTGTCACCCCTAATTTTAGCCAGTAAAAAAAAAAATTTAATAATTTTTATTTTCCATTCATTTTACCAAACACAAAGAAAGGAAAGTGTGTCATTCCTACTTTCCTTCCTTGAAAAATAAAAAATGAATAATTTTTGTTTTTCATCCTTCCTACCAAACAGAGCATAAAAATTAACGACTAGCTAGTTGTTTTATGTGATTGTTGGGGACCATACCCACAATTTTTGCCGCCTTTATCCTTTGTATATGCTTAAAATGATTTGGACTTTAATTCAAGAAAATGTAGATTTCAATGAGAGATTAGATATACATATATGCATACATATGTATGTATTTGTGTGTCTATATTTATATACAATCTAAGGATAATCAGTGTCTAAGGCACAATGTAACATAAGTAAGAAGTGATAGATTTGGAGTTGAAGAAAAATTCAATATGAATGATTTTGAGAAAGGTGTTGATAACCATTGAATGAGTCTATTTAAAATCGTTGAATGAGTTTATTGAAGTCAGCCTTATTTTGTATTATAGATTAGACCCTATGTAAATAATGGTGGTGTATCCATATTTGTGTCTTAGGCTACAATCATGAAGTTCTTTTTAAGTTTTTTTCTTTTTGATTATAAGTTCTTTTTAAGTTAGATACAATGATATTATTTATCTTTTTTACCTGAAAATCCAAGGGAAAAAAGATGGAACAATGCATGGAAATTAAGATGAAAAGCGAATCCAACAAGCACTAAGCAAAGAAGCATAAGCAAGACCCTAAATGAGTTCTTTTGGACCTTGAGTGATTTAGGTAATTTTAGCTGTTACTCACCCTTTTATTGATTCAGTAGTTTTTTTTTTGTTTTGGGTCTTCTATTGGTCTTGTTGTTAGATCAATGATGATTTGATAAATTTTAGTGGGTTTACAACGTGTGTAGGTTAGTTTGCTTTTCCTTAGGTTACTTTTGATGTGTTAGACTTTCAATTTTGTTAATACCATGTCTAGACATGTACCAAACTGGCTGAGTGATAATTATAATCAATTTATACATCATTATAGTGACAATCAGTTCAATTCATGTGGCTCAATCTAATGATGCATGCATTTCATGTGGCTCAATCTATGCAGTTTTGTGACACCTGTTAACTGGGGCTATGTACATATCGTTAGGGAATGACTACTTCTTCCCTTTAATTAATCCATCCTCCATCTCTTATGGTCACTCAACCATGAACTAATATTGTCCTTCAAATCTTAATATATTTGTTTAGCTCTTTCATTTTTTCGTTCAAATCTCATTAGTCAAAATATAAACCACAACAAATGAACTTGTAAAATGATAACATAAAATGTTAACAACCAATAATTTAATATTTTTCACGTGCAATGCACGTGTGCACCTATTAGTGTGATAAAAGTCGATACGACACCAAAATTTTGTCTTTGGTACAGTAGACAACTTCGTGAAATAGATATGAAACAAAAGATAAAGATTAAATTTTTTTTTCACCCTCAGTGCCACCCCTACTTTCACCTCATCATAACAAAATTTAAATATAAAATAGTTAATACAGATTATAAGAAATTTAAAGATGAAGTAGTTATCAAAAAATTAGAAGTTGTTACATTGGTCATATGTCAAAATTCTATTGAAAGAGGTAATTCAAAATTAAAAAAAAAAAGAATTTGGAGAGGGAAAGCTATTGAGACACTCCCTCTCTTAAATTGATTCTTCTTAGTATACAGTATAGATACAAAGTCTACATTGAGTTCTTTTATTATTTGTACTTTTGCTTAATTAATTTTGTCTTTGATAATTTGTTTGGATTTGCGATATTGATGTAATGGAAAAGTTTCAATGTTTACACATACTCTACTCTACTTTGTCAATTGCAATTTGCTTGATCCAAACTGACAATCAATGATTTTATCTCAAAAGACTTGCATAACCAATGAGTTTCTTACTAATATGTCACAATATTTTTATATATTTTTTACAAGTACGAATACAATTATATGAATATGAATATATCACTTATCGTGTATTGGTGAAGGGTTCATATATATAGTGGGTCCATTTGAATTTATGTTGGGCAATAGTCAATAAAAAATATAAAAAAAGGGATCATGATGGAAAATTATGTTTTACAAAATAAAAAATCTTTCTTAAGATGAACCTAACATAAGGATGGAAAATCTTTTTCATCGATTTTCTAACTTTGCAATTTTTCATCATTCTTACCAAACAAACCATAAGTGACTTACTTTAAAGCGGCACAACCTTTCTATTTTCAATGTGAAAAGACACTTTATTTGTAAGTTGCTTTTAGTATTTTCTGTCTAAAATAAACTTGATAGGATAAAAACATTTATTTGGTATTTTACATAGAAAATGTCTTTTTTTTTTTCATTTCTTTTCATAATAAAAGAATTAAAGGATTCATAACTTAATTTTATTAGCATAAGGATTGAGCAGTGGTTCTTTAATTTGAGGGGCCTATCATGATGGCTACTTCATTTCAAATCGAGATTCAATTCGCAAACAGATTGAGTAAATCTTACATCACCTGGATTGATTAGTACTCAACAATAAACCGAGTTGATGGGATATCAACATTACACAACTCAATTCTCAAGCCATAAAACTCCAAGAAGCTTGAAAAACATCAAGCTCTGGTCCAATCCAAACAATAACTACCCAGGAAGAAGACATCAGTTTTTTTTTTTCTTTTTTTTTTGAAAACAAGCTCACCCCTTTACTCATAAAGTAATATACAACAAATATTTCCGTATGACTACAAAAAAAAAAACAGCTAAAATATTTACAACACACCATTTAGCCCTGCACGGCCAAAGCTTGCAAGTGCTCAACAAAAACTTGCAAGCTTACATCATCAGTGAATATAATGTCCGAACCATCAGTATATGTTGAGTTTTGTGTAACAGATGGATTCAACTTAGCAAGAAGAAACCTTGCCTGACTGCTGTGTTGGTCACACTTGACAAGTTTTGGCCCCGGAACCCGTTCAGCCACCAGTTGCTCCGCATCAACCTCTGGGGCTTCCAACAGCTTTCGGAAATTCTCGTGGTTCGGGTCCCTTTCGTAACCAAGCTTCCTCCACTGAGCAATCTTGGATCCATAGTGAATAACCACATAGAAGTAGGAATCAAACAGCAAAATCACATCTGGGGCGATGGAGCAAACATCAAGCAGAACTGGAATAGGTGGCCCATCAAACGAATATTGGAAAAGGGTAGGTTGGATCATGATGAGAGATCCAACCACAGCCTCTCGGTTTAACATCAGCCGGAAAAAAGCTGTCTCATCAGGACTGCTGTTGAAGACATCAATAAACTGTGACCTCCTTAAATAATACATAAATTGTGGGTATAGGGAGAAGTTGGATGAAAGACGGAAGGAAGATGGATCTTCCTGCACATAATCCCCGAACTTAGATGCAAAACGAATTAGCATCTTATCTAGCCATCTGATAACATCCCGAGTAAAACTCCTCTCTGCTTTGTTGATGGCAAGTCTGGCCATGACTGAAGCTGCTGCTTCCTGATCAAACCCAGCTGCAATCTCTGGTGAGCGGTTCCCTACCCACCTTCTTGCAGCGGTGGTTACCCTTTTTCGAATTCCCATGTTTCCATGTCTGTACCGAGTTATGAATTGTATGAAGAATGCAGAGCTCGGTTGGACCTTCTGTTCATCACCCACTTGGAAGAAGAAACCGATGCATGTTTTATTAGTGAGTGTACCCAACTTCCACAAATTAGTACCACCCTCACCTATTTCCTTCTCGCTCACCGAATCATTTTTCTTCCGAAGAGAAACACAAGGACCAAGGGCTCCACAGATTTTCACATCTTTCGTTGTCACTATCTCGATAGTTGCATCAAAACACATTTTTAAATTTCCTTCCTCATCAGGGTTAAATATGTGACGCAAGCATTTTCTGAATTGATCTGACTCAAACGATTCCCCTAACATCATGAATCCACCTGAGCTCTCGACAGAGGTTTTTAGCTCCGCTGCCCCAACTTGATCAAGAGAACAAGCAAACAGATCAAGAACAATAGATGATACCAATAATCTCTGTGATATTTGTTTGTAGAATTCAAAACACTTTTTGTAGTAAGGTGCATAACCATTATTCACGTCTCGATGAGTTCTGATTGCATTTCCAAGATCGGAATTCACAATCATCCCTGGACCAACCGTTGCCGGCCCAGATGTGAAGACCATGATCCGTGAACCTGTATTAACTAAGCATCCTTCTAGAAGTCCAACAGCAACTGATATTGCTGCCCCTGTGGACCGTAGAGGACGATGGCCTCGAAGGACCTGGGATGAAGAATGGATATCTTCAATTGCTGTTGTGATGTTAAATTCGCATTCAGATACTGGTAAAAGGAAACCCTGTTTTTGAAATGCTGGCGTATTTCCAAGTCGTTGTTCCTTCATGTGATGGATCCCCAGCATCTGTTTGGTCTAACAATAACAAGCAACATAATCATTTAAACAACTGAAAATATATTATATGATACAAAAATACCAATGAATTCTTAGAGCTATGTATGAGGAACTTGCCATATTTCAGGATAAAAAATTATTTGCCCTAACCTTCATCCGGAATGTACTCAGCTGGCAGATGAAAACATGAACAAACTCCATACAGTTTGTCACCCGTGACACAGCTGAGTTTAGTTTTAGAGGAAATAATGGTTTCCACCAGGCAAACAAGAATAACTCACATATCAGCAGTAAGAAAATATCTTCTACACTTAAAAACTTGAATCCACGTATCTGTGATTTCACGCAAAGCCGTTCTTAAAAGCCACACGTGTCTCAGGTCCCACATGTAAGCCAGCTATCTTAACCTTAAAAAAAAAAAGTACAAGTGTGCAACACATGCTAACATTGATGGAAGAGGTAAGAAAAGGCTTTCCTAACCAGCCCAACTTAAGTCAAAGAAGTATCCTTTAGAAAGCAAGTTTCAGGTAGAGCAAGAACTTTTTAAAGTATAGCACTTAGGTGTGATGACCAGGCAGAAAACAAGAAGTGGACCAGGATAATCTTAGATAAAGATTAAAAGAACAAGAAGTATTTTTTGGAGATTGAAGATATTACACACAAAGGATTTATGTGGAAAAAGACAAAGAATAATGAAGTAGGGAAAATTGTAGATAGATGACAGATTCCTTAAAAGGAGAAGAGTAATGAACAATATAGATGATGAAAAGTAATCATAAAACTCAAGCCAGGCCAGTGAGAGAGACAACTTATATATATGAGATTATTATAATAAATGCTTCCTTGCTTATCCAAAAACAAAAAAGCCTGAGAAGTAAGATTAGATGAAAATTAAACAACCATACTCATAAGACTTCAAGAGAGGGACCAGTGAAAAGCTGATTTTTTCAAAGTCTATGTTTTAATATTAGAGTGTCTAGTTAGTATAGCTATATTGCTACATTTGGGTTACACTAGAAATACCTAACCTTTAATCTTATTATGGTCACTAGTGTGTGTTAGGTTTCATGGTGGGCCTAATAAGTTCCAACATGTCCTAGCCTCTTACCCAAATGTCCAAATCCTTTGTCATCCAGTATTTCTTGGCTTCCACTAAATACTTGGTTGCCCAGTCCTCTTGATCTCCAGTCATGGTCTCATATATAGAAAATATTTTGTTGCATCGACTTTCTTTTAAATTGGTAAATAAGATGTTCTTGCATGATAGATTGCAGTATCGGCCATTAACTAGGAAGACACTGATCTTAACATTGTGGAATTGGATAGGGTGATACACACGAAATGCCATATTACGGTCAACAATATTGCAGTCTCACAAAATGGTAACTCAAAGAACTGGCTGAGTCGTTTGAGACTCCTCCGTCGAGTGAGTCTTGCGGTTTATAAGAGACGTACATTAATCTCAAAATGGGAGATGCCGAGTCAAACCCATACTTAGAAACGTTTGATGCATATTCTATCAGGTATGTGGCCTCAAAGCCGAGGTCGGACTCTTGGACTATTCTCTCTATGCCTTGGGTGTGAGGCTTCTCTCTCTCTCTCTCTCTCTCTCTCTCTCTCTCTCTTCCTTTCATCTCCTAGTGTTCTTTTATTTTATTTTTTTAGTTTTCTGTCACGTGACACATTTAAAAGCATAGAATCAGTTCTCAATAGTATAGCCTTACAACCTTATACAGTCAAATCCTCCTCTTCCTCAAGAAAGTCAAAACCCACAAACAAGCATACTAAGGGAGAATAGAACTTCACTTATAGAGTCAAACATAGAGAGAACAACCTAGGAGTAACGAAAAAAAAACAGTGAAATAGGACAAAGCCACAAACATTGTCAAACCATACCTACAAGCTTCTTCCAACTCAAGACCCAACAAGACGTGGTGTGAGGTGAGCATCTACAACATGACTATGAGCTTACTGAAACCCGACCCTCAAAGAGTTTGAACAAAGATCTCCATATGGATGGGGTGGGGTATTATTTCACCTAACACAATTTAATTGTGAGAAAGAGAATGGATCCTGCACTGGCTAGCTACCCAAATTTCAGACATACCCTGTCACGGTGTCACCAATAGAATTTTAACTGACACACAACTGGATTCCACTTGATCCAACTGCAAAAGTTCAAGCTCAAGCTCAGGGTTGTTTGGTTCAAGCTTTGTATATATTGTATATTAACTCATGTTAGTGTCGTTTTAGTATGTATGTCCTAAGTTGGATTGTTTGCTCTTTCTCCGGAATGCTCACATGTGATTTCCACTACATTCATATTGATGTCTGCGCAAATTAGCTCACATAAATGACGTACATGGAGGATAACCGGTTTCAGGTCTGAATGTAATAAGGCAGTGACTAAAAAGCAGAGCTGAACTTAATGAGACAATAGTTGCTGACTTTCAGCGAGCAGGACAAGTGACCACCGAATAATGGGGAAGGAATGATGTAAATGGTTTTTGCAACAATGCAACCAATAAAAAAGGCATTGAGCCCTTGGATGATAACAGTATATCACTTAGAAACTAGAATATGTTTACATATCATTCATCTCCAAGAACAACTACTGCTACTGGAAGTCTGGGACTATACAGGTTGCATCATCATCATTGTACCATTTCAGATTATATCAAGACATATCAAATCGAATCTAACACTGCAAATATCGATGCATATAATCCTTGGAGTAGAAAATTATAAACAATCTAATGAAGTAAGAGCAATAAACTTTGAGTGGACAGTTCACTTCCATGTGAAGTACCGAGTACCTGATGAGAAGAGAGCTCTCGCTCACCATGAAACACCACGACCCTCAAGCAATCCGAGAAACCAAGATCATGAACCCTAACCATGGAATCAAAAACAACCAAACCCACCAAAGAATTCTCCGGCAAATGCGCAATTACTAGCAACAGCTCACTTTTTAACACCCTCAAATCCTCCTCCGATGAACACGCATCCACTACAAACACAAACGCCGGCCCCACCCCATCCAATCCCGACATCGACGACGATGATGAAAACGACGCATTCAGTGACATCGATGACATTGAATTCGATGAAACAAACCCATTTCCCCAATTCGAATTCAAAATCGAATTCTGGGACAAGTTCTTTTTACCCAATTGATATTCTACAGTACTGTAAGTGGGAAAAAGCTCCGCCGGAATATTATTCTCACCGATTCCGATATACGAACGTGGGAAAGAGTTCTTCCGGTGACAAAAGGGGCAAACCCAGATTTTGGGCAGGTATTCGACGCGGGCATATGGGTTTAAAACAGCGTCGCACTGAGTGCAGATCAAAGGGTCGTATTGGAGTAGTGGAAGCTCGCTGATTTGCATCAATGGAGTGCACATGATAGACAGAGGGATTGTCAGAGACGTGGCTTCGGATTTTGAGGCTGGCCATGAGTTCCACGACCATCTGAGCCCTTCGATCGCCTCCAATTCCACAAAATCCATCGACCCAATTCTGATAATCAGATGAATTAGGCTAATTAGTTCAATTTCAGTTCATGGGTTGGAAATTTTGAAAAACTGGATTCAGGGTTTTATGGGTTGTTGATAGGATCGGAGTTTTGGACTAACGGACAAATTTGAGAGGCTTTGGTAGTGTTTTACAGAGATTCCAATGGCGGCCGGAGGCTGTAAACAGCCGCAAGTAATAAAGTGAAAGTTTTTTTTTGGTCAGAATAAGGTGGAAGTTTGCGTATTGATAGTCGAAGGATGTCAGCTGATCACGTGATGGGTCATGTGACCATAAAAGAGGGAAGCCTAGCATCGAGTAAAAAGAAAAGGGTGAATGACACTTTGAACCTTATAAGATATTTGATTTCTCAATTGACATTGTAAAGGATTAAAATTTTACATTGCATTTTCTTTTTTTATTTTCGTTTAATGTTCAGAGGTGTCTAAACCAAATTACTTTCATCTTGACTAATCTTCTACTCAGTTTGGTCAAATAAAGGTTATTCACCCGAGAATTAAAGTATTCATCTAGAATAAATTCCTCATTGCCCGATTTTAAGGGGTTGTTCAGATTTAAACTCAGGACGTTTAGATTTACAACTTGTTCCAATTACTGCTTTAACTTTTTTTTTGGTTTAACAGTTAGGAGTTTGTGTGTCAGGTTATATGTACCTCGATTAATTCCCTCTCCGGTCTAATCAAAGACAGATTATTTACGTCGGAATTAGAGTATTCATGAGAGATAAATTCCTCATTAATTAACCCCCAAAAGTTGTAAAGATTCGAATTTATGACATATAGGTTTACAACTTATCTCTATTACCACTAGAGTTACCCCTTTGAACTTATTACTACTTGAACTATCCATCGGGGGTTTATTCACATTGCATTTTCAATTAGACAAAAAAAATTACAATGTGGCCCAGAATCACAAAAACTCCATACTCGGTTTAATTGAAATAGACCACATTACTATCATTTTATGTGATTGAGGAAATTTTGATAAAAGCTGCAATCCAAGCGATCCCCTCTTATGCCATGTCGGTTATCTCATTCCCAAAGAACTTTTGCGATAAATTGGATAGGTATGTAAGGAGTTTCTGGTGGGGGTAGTGGAAGGGTGAAGCGTGGGATTAATTGGAAAAAATCAGAGAAGATGGCTGATTCTAAGGTGCGAGGGGGTTTGAGTTTCAGGGACTTTGATTTCTTCAATCAAGCTCTTTTGGCGAAACAAGGATGGAGAATCATTCATAACCCAAAAGCCTTTTGGGTTAAATTTCCCAAATCAATCTACTTCCCAGACTGTGACTTTATGCAGGCAAAGAAGGGCACTAGGCCCTCCTGGTTTTGGGGTAGCATTTTAAAAGGAATAGAATTGTTGGAAAAAGGGCCGCTATGGCAAGTTATGGATAGTGATGACATCAACATCTGGGATTACAGGTGGATTCCTCTTCTTTCCAAGGCAGTTATTTCCTCTACTAGGCCGCAACCAAATGACATTGAAGTGGTAAGTCAACTAACCATTCTGCCCTTCAAAGTATGGAACATTGGTTTGTTGAAATCTCTGTTTAATGACGCCGAATTTAAAGCTGTCTCGGCTATCCCAATCCCAAAATCAAGTGGCAGCGACATATGAGTTTGGCAACCAAGTTCCAACGGAGTGTACTCTGTCAAATCAGGATATTCATTGGCTATTAAACAGCTTGGAAGCTAGCTCATCGTTCTCACCTTATTGGAAACTACGACATATTATATGGCACATGAAAGCTCTCCCAAAGGTCAAACACTTCTGGTGAAAAGTCTGCAACAATGCACTGCCCTCCAGAGAAAATCTATTTAAAAGAAGATGTGCAGACTCCCCATGGAGTCAAATCTGCAGAGACAAAATTGAGTCAATGGAACATTTGTTATTTGGTTGTGAATGGACAAGAAAAGTGTGGTTTGGACTCGCATTTAGTGTTTTAAAACCAACAAATCTTGAATTTTACTATTTATAGGGTCAAAAATCATATTTTTCTCTGAAATTACGATTTTGTCACTAAATATATTCAATTTGATCTCTATGACCACCCTAATTTTTAGACATTTCGAATTCATTTTTAATATTATTTTAACCTAAAAACATTTAGTTTTATGATTTATCTCAAAACCAATGTCGATTTACACCTGAAACATTAAAGTTACCATTTTACTCTTTCGAACTGCTATATGCTCTAAATGTCTATTATGAGGTTTTTGGACCTTTCAGATTCAATCGTAATGTTATTTTGACAAAAAAAAAATTAATATATTTACTTAGTTACCCTTATCAATCTTAAACACCACCAAAAATTAAATTTGACTAAAAAGTCAATACACCCATACCTCAAACTTACGCGACTATTTCTTTAACAACAATTCAAAATTTTTCTCATCATTTTAATCATTTAAAAAAAAATACTATCAAGTTAATATCATTTATATTTATATAAAATATGGGATCTCACAGTCCACCCTCATTAAAATAAGTTTCGTCCTCGAAACTTAGGCTCCCTCGTCTAAGTCTCAATTGTTAATCACCAACCCAACCAAGTGAACTCCATTTACCAACACAATAAGATATGCTTTGATTTCTTTTGTGAATTCACTACATTCACCATCACATATTTATATACAATGATAATCAATCAATCCACCAATCTCAAATTACGAGTATTACAGTTAATTAAAATATTTTCAAGTCCATTCATGCCATCACATTTCTTCACTTTAGTTTCATTCTTATAATGTTGTTTTATGTCCCATGATAATGCCTCATATTTTCTTGTGTTTTCTCCATTGTCACAGTTATCATAAGTCCTCCAATTCACATTCTTTATAAGCTATCAAACTTTTCAAATAACCCGTGCAACTATCAAAATTAATTTCTCACCACGATTCAGCACTAAGTCATTGACTTCATTGTTTACTTGTCACCTATGGTAATCATTTAGTTCTCGATATTATTGTCATTCAAGGTACCATGACACTATTGCCCCATGCTCCACCATGCTCTCATCCATACTACTCCAAAGTGCACGGTTCAAGACATGACACAACTCATGACATGACCCAACTTAAGACGTGTATGACCCTCTCCATCCAAGTTCTTAACCACACCTACTTCATATACTTCTCATACCTAATCAACTACTATTATCAATCTTTAGAGAATTTTCATGCACACTCAGTATTATCATCACAATATTTTAACGTTTCAACATCACCACTAAAGAATCAATCAAGTAGTCTTGAAAAACACTCATTTTCATTCTTGTATAATATATCCTCTATTTAATCCACTACGTAGCATTAAATCCTATGACAAACCTGAAGTCATTGGGATTTTGTGAACACCACAAGATTGTGGATAGTGATAATTTTCAAACTACACACCTAGTTATCTAAGCAATTGATTTTTACTTTCTAACTATACTTTTCATCTTCATCTGTGTAATCATAACCAAATGGTTAACCCCAATGATAAAAAATCTAATCAAATGCTTTCACTGCACACTCTGATACTGATTATAATTTTATAATTCACTTTTTCAATCCATTATAATTAGAACTAACAACCGATAAAAATTTTCATGGGTTGTCTCTCATAAGTACAAGATGCATTTGGAATCTTCGATTAATACTTTTAGAACTATCATAATATCTCCACATTTTTTTACCAATTCCATCTACCCTATATTTTTCTTTGACTTTCCAATAAGATTTATTGCCAAACATTATCTTTGAGTGTTGGGCCGTCGCCTAATGTCAATTTCAATTTAAAAGTCATTATTATCTCCCAAAAGCTAGATGTCCAATGCCGTTATGATAACAAAAAAACGCCTCAAGTAATAACCCGTAACGAAATATTATAGCTTCCTCACGTCCAAGATTACAACAACACATTTTACGGAACTCTTAAGTCCCCATGATTCAATCCAGCACCTTAATATTTCTTGAACTGTAAAATATAACCAAGATAAAGTTATATTCCTAAGGGTCCAAATAATTCTTCAACACCATAACCTTAAAATTTTTCATGATCCTTGAGATAATAACCATTCATTAGCTAATAGAGTAACCTCGTACTTTGATCGAAACTTAATTAACCATTCCTCTATTAATATCAAAACCACAATCTGTAATCTTTTACATTAATCTACCATATTAAATCCTTAACATCACAACCAACTGCAAAGATCTCTTTTCAAAAATTTATGATCTTCAATACCAACAATTCTCAACTCCAGACTGTCAATATGAAACCTAATGATGGATTGAAAATGGCAGGATATAAACTTCTATATTTCTATAATATTTAACTTCCAACGACATTAAAAGATCTCACATCACGACAAGAGTTTATGTTGAATATTAAATATTGTCTTAGTTCTATTAGTCGCTCAATATAAATGATCTCAAATTTTTGAACATCTATGCTCCACTATCCAACAATATTAATGGCAAAAAATTTATTAAACTTTGTAGGTTTCCATGGCACCGGACTTCAAATTTTAGTCCATACCCCTTATCTCCATTTTCATTTAAATTCCATGAGTACAACTTAACTATTATCCCCACATTCAACCAAGTGATTTCCGATTATTACTAGCTTTAGATGGTCTAAATGTTGTGAACTAAAAACACTAGGAAATACAATCATATAATAACCAAAACAAGTTCACAGTCTACTCTCAAGGATAACACCTTCCATGTACTTAGGAGAGTTATTGTCCTATAACGTTCACACATAGTCTAATCCCTCCTACCTTTTTATGTTATTATTAATTTTATTACTCCATATTTCTATCCATTCAAAGGCTTACCATGTCATTCTCAGTCAATTTTCATGCAAAGTCATCTAATATAATTTATCAATTATTGCACCACGATTCTCCAATCATACTCTTTCTGAATAATTCTTATAACTCAATTGTTGTCGTCAATTAAAATTTAATTCTACCCAATGTAATACTAGCCAACTATCCATATTATTTCCAAACTACTATCGATAATCAAATACATGATCATAAAACAACCTCCAATCCACTCAAAATCAAAATCACAATTTTTACTCATATTTCAAAATCGACACCAATCCTTAGTTATTTTTGTCATACTCTTCCAATTGATTGTATTTTAGCATTATACTATATTATAGTATCTTAGTCACCTTCATGTTCATCTCAAAGTTTTTAG